GAAAATATCTGTCAAAAATCCTTTCCTACCCAATATCCATGTTTTTCCCTGTTCCCCTCGCCCTCCCTCCCTCCCTCCCTCCCTCCCTCCCTCCCTCCCTCCCTCCCTCCCTCCCTCATTGGATTTCTGTTTATATTCCCAATGAGGATAAAATTTCAAACCAACATTTTTAAAGTTTCCAGTGCTGATGTTTTCCCAGTCTCTGCCATTCTTGTTGGAAGACAATAAAGAGACTCATCTTTCAGAAGAAGTTGAGAGAGTTATGTTTCTGGAGAGCAAACCAAAGTGAACACTGTCCGTGAGTCCCTGTTCACAGCAGGCAGAAGAGCCCCTGTAGACACCCCACATATACACACACTCTAACCGGGGAACTCAGTGGAAGAACATTTATAAACAAATTCTTGCTTCTGAAAAGATGGAAAAATGCCTCCCACTGTCTCTGCTCATTACAGCCAACAGTCCTGGGCATAATACTAATGGGAACAGCCAATGCATAGGAGGTAGACCAGCTGAGGACCTTGGGCTCTGTGGATGGCACAGTGATGAAGGTCCTGCCTTTTCTTTCCGCCTCCCAGTTTGGAATGGGAAGAAGCCAAACACCTTGAGTCCTGATAAGCACAGACAGAACTTTATTTTATAAGTTGAAAAGGTTTTATAAATTGAAAAAGTAAAACCACCAACAGATGTTTGAATATCCTCCCTGTACTTGGGGGAGGGTGGGGGGGAGGCCTGCCTGGAATCTCTGTGGATCCTGTTTCCTGCAGGGTGGCATCAGACACTGAGTACTTAGGTGGTCCCTTTAAGGCTTACCTGCATTTCTGTGAAGCCACATGGAGGACAGGAATGCTGCTCTCCTGCCTGCCCAGCCACAGTAGCATCACTGGAGGCCTAGTAGGCTGCTGGGACTTGCCCTGTCCGACAGTGGTTATCCTTCTCCTCAGAGAGAGGACCTATCTGTCATCCACAGTCTTGGGTGGATAAAGCAGCTAGTTTACCTTGTAACTCTCCCAACAAGCACTGTATACTCTGAGTGCTGGTAGGGTTTGGTGCCACTGATGTGATGTGAGCATTGGCTCGCAGGAAGGCAAGAGTCTAGAGATCCTGGAGAACTCAAGTCCTCCTTTGGGAACTGTGACACAGTGAAAGCTCTTTTAATATTTGATACCTCATAAACATCTAGATGGAACATTTTATTCTAAAAGTTTATAAAAAGTGGGGTTGTCTTCATGGGGCTGGCCACCCTAGTGTTCCTGTGGCTCCTTTCTGGGAAGCTGGGTAAAACACCAGACTTCCTAAGATGTGCAAGAGAGTCTGTTTACTGAGATGTGGTTAGCTGATTCTGAACCCTGGCTGGATCTGCCCTTGTCCCAGGGACGCAGGAATTTTTAAGTCGGTTTGTACTGTTTCATCACAGTACCTAGAAACAAACCCTTGCACGGTGTGGTCGTTGTTTTTGGATCTTGCAATTTTTCAGTAGACTACTGATTGAGCATCCCTATAGCAAAAATTAAAGAATGCTCACATTGTATCTGTTTCTTGATTCTGTGTGAAAGGAACCAGTTTGATACTGTTGGTTCCCATCAATGGCTGTACCCTTCACTTCTAATATAACTTGAAGATGGCTTCGCTTTGCTGAGATACAGCTTTTGTTCTATTGGCCTGATGACCATTAAGTTTTACAGTCATACACGTCTGTTGCCAGGCCTGGTGGTGCACACCTTTAATTGAAGCACCAGGAGGCAGAGGCAGGTAGATCTCTGTGAGTTTGAGGGCAGACTGGTCTACAGAGTAAGTGTCAGGCTAGCACTACAAAGTAGCCCTGTCTCAAAATACTAACAAACAAGGAAAAACAAACAAAAATAGACATTTGCTACATGACCACACACTTAGATCAGAGCCCCAGGGGAGCAACGGGACTTAGGCACAAAACTATATTTTATTACTGAGAAGCCCATACATTCTTATCAACAAAATTTACGCTGCATAGACCCACCCTGTTTCCAGGATAGTTCTTAGTTCATTGTTACTGTTTTGCATTTTATATTTAAATACTATATATTCCTATTCATAGCCCACACAGATATATTTTTGCCTTTCAAAGAAATCGAAGATCCATTTCATGGAACACTGCTAGAAATCCCATGATGCTCAAGCTGTTGACAGTGGCAAGGTGTCACTTGGCACCTGCCCCTTCACTGGGCATGTTTGTGTTACACTTGTGTAACTCCTGCACAGTGCCACAAATACCAGCAGGAAACATGGTCATTAGCTAAAGATTTGAGGAGTCTTGAGTTTAGAGAATGCCACCTACGTTTGATTTAATTGGAGCAGAAATCAAGTTTATAGTCATATTGTCACTTTAGGAGAACAGAGCAGGTGGCATCTGGCATAGTTTTAAACTGAAGAAAATGTGACAATCTAGCAGATTTTCTAATCCTCTTATAAAGCACTCTTCCTTTCAAATCAGTGAAACCAGAAACCAGCTGGTTGTCTGCGGGTGGAACTGACCATAGTATCTATCCGGTGAGCGAATAGAAGGGCACATTGTGTCCTCTCCGGGAGTCTGCCTGGCTGGCGCTTTCAGATCACCTTATCTTATTCCACAGTGGACTCCTTTTCACATGATAAATGAATCCTGTTGAATTTTGTAGGCCTGTAAGAAGTTCTTTAAAATCACCTACAAACCCAGAGGGATAAAGTGGTTCCCACTGAGCAGGGTGACTTTTGTATTTGGGGCCTGTGCAGGCTGATCTTGGTGGTGCAGCCAGATGGTGGAGCTCAAAGCCCCTTCTGTCTGCAGATCACTATCTCTGATGGTCCTCCCTGCAGGGAGCAGATGCTGCCACTCAAACCCTGTCCTGGGAGCTAGCTGTGCTAAGGACTGCCTTTGTAATGGGCAGAGAGGAGCCTGCACTCTCTACTTATTCTCAGAGACTTGGGGTACTGGGCTCAATTCTAAAGCTTCTAAAGCCAGGATGAAACCTCTCTCTGTGGGGTTCCCCTTCTAGCCATGGACACATTCTGACAGTTGGAGCAGCCAGCTGAGCTGAGATGGGCTGAAATGTCAGTGATTTTACTTCAATATTTTGTTTGCTGTTTCCTCCCTAAGTGTGATACGTAAACCAACCAACCAAATGTATGCCTGTTAACAGGTAAGGGAAGCAAGGGTACTGCCATTTTCGATGCTAATCCCCACAGTCTAGTCTTGGCTTATCTACCTGCAAGGCTCAGGCCTGTGGCTTTACTTTGTCCCCATAGATGTAGGGACAGGTAAGCAGAGTAGGTCCTGTGAAGTTGACCTCATGTCTAGGGCTGTTGAGCTCTCTTGTCACCTAAGCAGGGTGAAAGGAAAAGCAGGCAAAGGATTTCTCTCTGAACTACATGACTTAGAACATTGAGATAGCCCCAAGGCCTCATCTGACAGGGCCTGAATATGTTTTCAGAACTCAGAAACTTTCAGATTGTAGGATCATAAAATACATGCACCGCATGCTAATATTCCTAGTGTGATACAGGATAGCGCCCTACAGTCAAACTCATGAATATTTATACAGGGGATATTTGAATATTCATGTCAAGAAGAATAGATTAAGTTAGGATGTTAGTCCTTTATCAGTTTTTGCTACCAAGTATGTTTGCTTAAATTGTTCTATTTTTCAGCTTGAGAATTACAGATAAATGGCTTTGAATCCATACCTTGATGACAGACACAGACTAAAACAAGACTATAAGGCAGGTTTAGTGGCACACCCCTTTAACTCCAGGACTTAGGAGGTAGAGGGCTGGTCTTTTGCAAGATGGAGGCCAGCATGGTTTATATAGGGATTTCCAGGCCAGCCAGGGCTACACACAGAGACCCTGCCTCAAAATAAATATCTGTCAAATGAGAACGCTCAAGGTCAAGCTGGTAAGCTGGTTTGGGGATCAGATGATAAATTTGTGGTCAATATTGTATGTGGTATTTGGCAGACAGTAGGTATCCAATACATGCTGGTTTCTAAAACTTCACCTTACCTGGCCTGGGAGCTACACCTGTAGTCACAGCTGCTCAGGAGGCAGAAGGAGGAGGGCTGTTTGACTCTGGAATGTGGACCAGCTTTTATGCCATGCTAGCTTGGAATCCAGTGAATCCTAGGCAAACATGGAACACCAAGTGACAGCCTCATCCCCCTGTTAACTTTTCTTAGATTAAAATCTCAGATTGGTAACTACACACCCTTTTGGGAGAGGGTTCAGAGCTCAGCATTGGCCACATTAAATCTCAGTGTCTGCAGTTTGCTTCATACTGAGAGTTCAGTATTGTTTTGAAAGTTGTTTGTAGAATGACCAAAATTTTCAGTGACAAAAAGACGTCTTGATTACTATTATTTCGTGTTTACAACTTGGGACTGCTTCGCTTTAAGTACACTTGAAGGAAGTATTTGCCGAAAGCCCCTCCAGATCCCTCTTGCCTTTGAGCAGTTTGAAAGAGAAGTTTCTCTAGCTGTGTGCTGGTGGCACTGGGCTCTACCCACGGTCTGCATTAGGGTCACTTCAGATGGAAGGGTGCAAGTCTGCTCAAATTCTTAAATGCCAAGTGTGTTAATGGCCTTTTAGTTCAAAACAACTTATTTTAAAGTATGCTTTGATAAATAGACTTCTGCTTTTAAACTTGTAAAGCTTAGATTTGTAAAGGGAAAGGTCATGGAGGATTAATTGGCAGTTTTGGTCAGGCTGTTCATCAACATTGTATAGTTGGTAAATTATGAAAAGAAGTTTCCTGAAGCCCCACCAGCTGCTCTGACACCATCAGACATGACATGCAGCAATTCCGATCACTTCTTTGTCCTTTTTTTGTGGCTCAGAAGGATTAGAGGTTTGTTCCACTGTAGTTTTTGGATTTGGGATAGAAGAATTCAAAGGACTTCCTGAGAAGGGTACTGACTGTTTGCTGGGCATGCGGCCTACAGGACTGGTTAGCATGGAGGGTCCTTGTGTCACTGAGTCTCCTGTCTCCACAGCTGAACTATCAGCAGAAAGTGGGCATCATGTACTGCAAAGCAGGCCAGAGCACTGAGGAGGAGATGTACAATAACGAGTCGGCAGGCCCAGCCTTTGAGGAATTCCTTCAGCTTCTGGGAGAACGAGTTCGGCTAAAAGGATTTGAGAAGTACCGCGCACAGCTTGACACCAAAAGTAAGAAATGCTCACACCTTCCTGCCATGCTTGGTTACCCTTGCCGTGCTGATGAGCATCCGCTAAGTCATCTATGACACTGCTCTGCCACTGGTGGCAGAAAGCTAATGGTGGAGGAGGGGCAGACAGGCTGGGAGGTGTAGCACTAGAACTGTGAGACCGTAATCCAAATGGCTGTGATGGGGCCGGAATGCATTGCTGTCATCAGAACCATGGGTGGGTCAGGGCACAGACACAGATGGTGCCCAATTGCACCAGAGTGGAACTGCAGAGATTTCCCACACATAGCTGAATGTTAGGGGGGATTTAAAGATCCAGAAACCCAATCTGATTATAAGAGGTGGACATCTTTATTGGTTTGTGATATAATCCTTCTACTCTTCTACATAGCCAACCTTTACATAGCTTTCTTGTTTGCTTTTGTTTTTTAATATTATTGTGTTATTGTGTGTACATGTGTTTGGGCATAGTATATGTGTACATCTATGTATGTGTATGTGTGTGCCCTAATTGCCTGTGGAGGTCAGAGGACAAACTTGGTGGAGTCTCTCCCTTCCCCTCTCCCTCCCCCTCCCTCTCTCCCTCTCCCTCTTCACTCTGCCCCCTTTGTCAGCATCTCATTATGTGTCTTTGGCTGACCTGGAACTCACGAAGATGTTTCTGCCTCCTCAGTGCTGGTATCACTGTACCCAGCTTCCTTCTGTCTTTGTGTGGGTTCAAACTCAGGTCACCAGGCTTGTATGGCAAGCACCTCTACCCTGTGGGACATCTTGCTGCCCTTTTAATGTCTAGGAGTTCTTTGTTTGTGTTGCCTGTAGTTATCTTTAGGGGGGTGATGCATGTGTGTGCACATGTGTGTGTGTGCATGTAGATGCCATTGGTTAACCCTGGATGTTGTTCCTCAGGAGGCATCCACCCTGTGTCTTGAGACAGGATCTCTCACTGGCTTGAAGTTACCCACATAAACTGGACTGTCTGGGCAATGAGCCCCAGGATTGGCCTGTCTCCACCTCCTTGATCACAAGCTTGTACCGCCACAGTCAGCTTTGTTAATATGTGTTCCCAGGGTTTAAACTCAGGCTCTCATGCTTGAGTGACAAGAACTTCCCCAGTGAGCATCTCTCCAGCCTCAGTTTATCTTAAGACTTTTTAGATGTTACCATGCTGTTTTTGTGCTATATCCCATTGGACTTGTATTTACCACCACTTCCTGTCTCTTCTTCCTTGCCCTTACTGGTCCTCTTCCTCCTCAGATAGTGTCCGTTCTGCCAGCTTGCTATGGGAATCCCTAGAAAACAGCTTGCCAGTATGGTTCCATGAGTTGATTAAAGGCCCAGTGATGAGGCAGTCTGTTTAACTACAGGAAACCTGCAGAGTTGTCTACCCCCACCCCCAAAGCCCACAGGAGGATAGTTAAGCTCTCAGATGCTGGTTTGGGTGGCAGTGTGTGGATCTGCTGCACCTCTGTGTAGACACAGATTGAAATTATCTCAGAAACTATCCTTAGACACCTGGAGGCTGTTTTTCTTTGCGAGGGTCTTAGATTAGCACGTCTGCTTTGCAGTGTACAGTAATCTCTCTGGTTTTCGGTACAGGAAATGAAATAAGGCATTGACTCATGAAAACAGAAAAGCATTCATAAACTGCACTGCAGGGAGGATTTCCTGTTGCCATAGTTTTACTGTTGCCAGCTTGGAAACGACGTGCAAGAGAATATGAAAAGCCATAAATAGCCTGGCCTCGTAAATATTATGTTAATGTTCGGTCCTGCTTATAGCTGCGTAAGATCTTCACCCTTCAGCTCTTTTTGTCCTGGTACTCTTGTATCCCCTTCCCAGGGTTCATATGGCCTCGTAAATATTATGTTAATGTTCGGTCCTGCTTATAGCTGCGTAAGATCTTCACCCTTCAGCTCTTTTTGTCCAGGTACTCTTGTATCCCCTTCCCAGGGTTCATATGGCCTCGTAAATATTATGTTAATGTTCGGTCCTGCTTATAGCTGCGTAAGATCTTCACCCTTCAGCTCTTTTTGTCCAGGTACTCTTGTATCCCCTTCCCAGGGTTCATATGTCTCAGCGTGGTGAGCTCTACAGATCAACACGTGCTGTGCCTCTGTAAATGAGTGGTCAGACTGGCGCCCGTGAGATTGTATGCTGTGCAGTGATCTACCTGTTTCTAGACAGCCCCTCGTGAGGTGGGCTGATGTGAAGAAGTGATAGGAGTGCACTGTGGTGGCAAATGAAGCAGTTGACCCACTAAAATAAGCACTCAGTATGCGTTTGGCCCCAGATCCTGACTAGAGGAAGGCGAGCCTGGCTTGGCAAACTGCCTCTGACTGCAGTTTATGTAATGCATTCCACAAAAGTGCCCCTTCTCACTGAGGAGGGTCCAGAAAGGCTGTGCTTCTCTGCTTTTACAGAGCGCACCTTCGTCTGCTGTGACAAAATACCAAAGGCTAGGTAATTTGTAAAGAAAGTGGGTGGGCTTGGCTTTGGAGGTATGGGACCATGGTACTGGTGTTTTCTATGTTCCTGGGGAAGCCTCACATGCCGAGGGCACAGGTAGAGAAGTCACACCGCAGAGGGCACAGGTGGACAAGGTCACGCCGAGACAGGAGAGCAGGCAGGTGGGAGGGGTTGACCCCATCCTGTCATAGCAGCCTACTCCTGAGTACTTGCTCACAGTGACCAATACCCTGCTGGTCCACCTTGACAAGGCTCTACAACCTCTCACTGTTACTATATTGGGGAGCCGCCATGTTCACACCATAGCCAGACCATAGGAGAGCACCATGCTTCCTAATGTGAATGAGGGCCGGAAAGTGTTTCATTCAGAAACCCCAAAGAAGACTGAAGAATTAGCTCTTGTATCACAGATCAGCGGGGCCTGACCATATTAAATAGTAGTAAGTCACAAATAGACAGCAGTTGGCCTCTGGACACTAGAGCAGCTCCTTACCAGCTGTGATACACCTGGAGACAGGGTACAGCTCTGTGCACATTCACAATGTCAGCCATCTTTTTCTGCCATGTCAAGAAAGTCTTTCAGTATAATTCTTAGAAGGAAAAAAAAATGCCGTGGTGGCACATGTCTGTAATCCTGGAACTCAGGAGGTAGAGGCAGGAAGATGAGAATTTCAGTGACGTTGTTGGCTACACAAACAGTTTGGGGCCAGTCTGGTGTGTAAGATTCTGTCCCAAAAGCACATAAAGACTTTTCTGGGTAGAGTGCAGGCATATCTGTGTACCTGTGCTTTTACCAGATTAAAATGTTTTGTGTTGTTGATGTGTGTGTTTAGCCTCTCAGGTTTCCAGTTGCACACAGGTTCTTTATGTCGCTAGTGTACCAACAGCTGACGAGGCTCTGGTGCTGTTTGTTCAGCTTTTTCCTGGGTGTGCTTCAGTTCTGATCATCCCTGTTAGACATCTTCAGACTCCCTTTTCTCTTCCTCCCTTTCTCTGTGGTGCCTTAGTTCACATTAATTTGATAAAATATGGTAATTACCAGGACCGGAAGTTATTTGGTAATCCTTTTGTACCTTCCATTCTCCAAGCCTCATTAGGTACACCTTGTCCTTTAAGTCCTTGATCGTTTTTATGACAGTTAAAAGTCTTCTATTTCTGTCTTACTGGGCTTCCTCCTGTGGCTAGGTTTTCCTGGTCTGAGTTACACCTTACCACTTCACCTGGCTGATAATGTGTGAGGTGCTACATTTTGTGACTGTCATCACCCAGTGTCTAAATTTTGTCATCTTCTAAGTGTTGGGTTTTGTGTGGGCATCAGTGAATGTCCCAAAATACACACTTGGTTTTCCTGAGTCTTGGTTAAGCTTGGCTACTATTACCTGTAGTACCCTATGGTTTTCCTGGGGCGTGATGTGTCGTGACTTGACTACCATCCTGTTGAACAAAGTGTCTCTAGTGTTCTTATTTGGAATTCACATGTCTTCCGAGTCTGAACAGTGAACACTACTTGTTGTGTAATTAGCTGGTAGCTCTTGTCCTAACTATTTTTCTTTGTTTGGCTTTTGGGAAGTACACCTGTGCATATTCAGTGTGCATATTCAGTACCAGCACTCAAGGGTACCTTGTTCAGGTGTTCAGCCTCGCTGGCCCTGAGGTTTCCTCCGCTAGGGCACTCTGCAAGTGTCAGTCTCCTCAGACCCCTGAATGCCTCTTTACAGCAGCTTCCCTTCAGAGACTATCCTGTGTCGCTGCCCCACCAGGCCACCTGGAGAGAGAAATGCAGACACTATAGAGTATACCCATTCCTTGTTGCCACCTCCCAGCCCCAGGAACCACTGACCATCTGATGCTGTCTGGTGTTGAATGTTTGGAACCAATTGGTTCAGATGTTTAATCAAATTTTCTAATTTATATGAGAATTATGGCTGAGGCAGAAGCTCCAGATTCATCCTCATACTCATTCGTTCTGTATGTCTGTCTGTCTATCTGTGAATGCATGCCATTTTAGTTAAGCCCCACAAACTGCTAGCTAAACTGGCTTTGGATACATTCGCATGTCATGGCTGGGGAGCTACTAAACATCTGGAAAATCTGCCAGATCTGGTGGTATGGTTGGTTAATAAAGTGTTCAGAGAAGGCATGACAGTGACCCAGGGTGTGCTTACACAAATGCAGGCAAAACAGCCATAATAAAAATAATCTTTAAAAAAAGAAAAAAAATCCTTCTTCTTTATTAGGAATAAGCTTTAATAGGGAAAGGGACACAGTGACAAAACACAAAGAAGAGGGTGCTTTGTAAGAAAACTCTTAAAACATAACTGAATAATATTAAATTTAATATTACTATGTGTGTATGGGGCGTGTGTGAGAGACAGACGGAGGACATACATACATAGTGATAGCACCTGTGCAGAGGTCAGAGGACAACTTTGGGGAGTCATTTCTCTCCTACCTCTTGTCACGGCAAAGTGTACCCCAGGTGGGTCTCCTGTCTCCACGTCTCACTTTGCCTGGGAGTGCTGGCATTACAGATGCCTGCTTGTGCATCTGGCTTTTTTAATGTGGGTTTTAAGGATTGGACTTGGATTGTCAGGTATGTATAAAAGTATTTTTAGCTGCTGAGTCATTTTGCTAGACCTAAATTTAAATTCCAACCAAGGCATTTACTGGGGATCTTATGGACTAGCACTTTCCCATACTTTATTTCATCTAACCCTCACAACAATGAAAATACCAGACAACAGAGAAATGACTATTTTATTGATAAATGAAATACATCCCGGGGTCCAAAACTTGTCCTGTCTCAGAAATGCACCATTGTTCCATGAGAGCATACCCAATTTCCAATGTGCGTCTGAACAGTGACTTGAGCATCTCCAGACCCTGAGGAAGGTTACATGTGTGTGAAGTCTGGCTCTAGCATAGAGATTTTAAACCAACAGCTACTTAACTATTGTGGTATTCCAAACTAGGTAAGAATTGTGGCCAGGTCAAATACATTTTTGTCCTTCCCAAACAGGAGTAAGCATTTAACCTTATGAATCCATGGGGTGGGGGTCATTCTCTTTCAAACCACTACAATGGCTATTCATTTTATTTACATATTGGGATTCAGGGGATCAAACCCAGACTTTCACATGCCAGACAGACAAGCACTCTCTCACTCAGCTACACCTCCAGCCTCCACACGTACTCGAGACTATAGACAGTTTCCAAAAATCAAGTAGGCTATGTCCTTGCCATCTCCTTTGTCTTGACTTGCCATTAGTGTTCAAGAAAAGGTTGTATTAGTCTTTCCTCATTCAGATTCACACACCCATTATCGCTCAAGCCTCTGACTTCTACAAAACCTGACTTATAAATCAGCAGTCAGGAGAGCATGGCAATGGCTGCACCTGGAAACTGCTCTTGGAGACTTGATGCATTTTCAGGTGGAATACTGCCGCTTACCCTAGTCTTCCCCACCTTCCCAAAGTGTGGCAGTGCGTTACTGCTTTGTGTGGTGGGCATTCTGTTCTTGTCATCCCTTGGTTATTCCCTGTCTTAGTATCATTTGCTTTGAATAATAAGAGTTTTATTTGAGATTTTGAGACAAGATCTCTCCATGTAGCCCAGACTGTCCTCTAATGTGAGATCCTCCTTTCTCAATCTGTGAGTTCTGGGATTATACCCACTAAAAGATCCCCCTTCCTTCCTTCCTTCCTTCCTTCCTTCCTTCCTTCCTTCCTTCCTTCCTTCCTTCCTTCCTTCCTTCCTTCTCTTTTTTGTTGGTTTTTCAAGACAGGGTTTCTTTGTGTAGCCCTGGCTGTCCTGGAACTAGCTCTGTAGACCAGGCTGGCCTGGGACTCACAGAGCTCCAACTGCCTCTGCCTCCCAAGATCTAGGATTAAAGGTGTGTGCCACCACCACCCAGCAGTGTTGAGTATGGTGATGTTCATGACCGTGCAGCTCATGGATGGTGTGAGTTGGAGGTGGGTCATTTGACCGTCTGATGACCCAGGTAATGTCTGGGTGGGTTTACTCCTTAAGGATTGAGCCCTTTCAACTGTGCTATGGAGAGGCGTTGGTTTTCGTGCCCTCCTCTGCAAGCACATTTTTACTTCACAGTTGCTCACTGTGTATTTTCTGCAACCTGATTAAAAACAAAAGAAACAAAAAACCCAACTGTTTCCGTTTCCCAGACTGTCATCCTCTTAAGACTTGGATGGTTTCTAAGTCACTAGAAGCATAGCTAGAACATTGAGTATTGTAGTCTTGGAAGGTCTGCAAACATTCTTTTCTGTTCTCCCTGGCAGTGTTTGCACTTGCATTGGTTCATAGTAACCTCAGGACTGGGGAGTTGCTTTCTCCTGGGAAAGGAAGTGCTCATTGTTTTGACCTTAGTCTTATCTTTAGCTTCATGAAACCATCCCCAAACTGTCAAAAATATTAGCAAAACTGTGGGATTTCCAAATATCTCAAGAAAAAGGCTTGTCAGACAGCATCCATCCCAAGAAATGAAGTGTTAAGAGAAAGAAAGGGCTAAAAGTAGAACAGCAAATTGTTCTTCATAAAACTTTTCCTTTCTGGTAGTTGTGGCTATAAGGCAAATGCAGTTAGTAAATGTCAGTGGCAGTACTTTTTCTCGTTCATTGGTTTTGCTTAAAGTCAGGTTGGAGCACATCAGAGCCGCCATGCTCACCTCAGAGTCTTGCAAGATATTTATAGCAGGTTCATCTGCTGCTATTTATAGCAGGTTCCTAACTATGTGTAAGTTCTTCATACTTAAGACAAGTCTTTGAATGGTTGAGAAGGACACTTCATTGTAGTAATGGTCTTTTGTGGAGGTGGTCATTAACATTTATGAGATTTTGTTTTCTAGACTACTTACATGTAATGTATTTTGCAACTTTGAAAAGTTATCTTTGCTTTTTTCTATATTTAGGTTATTTCTTTGCATTTTTCATGAGCTTCAAGATGAAGATCCTCCAGTAAACTCCAGCCTAAAGCTCAGGGCTCTAGATCATGTTTCTAAATCTGTCTGCTGGTGTCATCATTGTCTACTTGAAGCAATACCTCAGAGCAGTGGGAACTCCTGCATCAGAGTTACCTAGACTCCTTTTTGAGGCCTCATACCCACTGTGCAGCATTTTTGGGTGTGGCCTGGGATTTTGCTTTTAAAGGGCTTGTCCCACTAACGCTTGCATGCTGATTTTGAGAACTGCTGCCTCTTAGGCATGCCAATGATTTTGTCTTGTTATGTCATTCGCTAAAAGTACCATTCACTAAAGTGCAGTCCTTTAGTCCACAAAATTATGGTTGGTGGCTTTAGTTTACTCAGAGTGATGCTTTTAGGTTCTCTGGGAAACCCATAAATTTGGCAATCCTTCCAGCCGCCTGTATTTTTCTCTGATTATAGGTGTTTGTGGGCACACTGATTGGGAAGTCATTTGTGTTTAAGCGCTAGAGGTGGTTTTTCCATAGGGGAAATGAAAGTACAGCATTCTTTCAAACCTTTAAAATTTGAGGACACTCCTGTAACCTTGTTCTCCAGTGTGAGTCCCATACTACTCTTGATTAATTTGGAAATATTAATTCATCTGTGAAGGTGAATGGAAAAATTTTTGTTTTTACTGGTCCTATATTGAATTTAGCATTTCCCTCAGTTTTAAACATAAACAACCAGTCATCTGGTTTTATTACCAAGATAAAAAAGACATTTGATACTGTATCTTTTGACAGTAATGTTGCTTATGCTCATGACTGCTCCACTTTGCAATATCAGTGTAGCTCAGGGTGGCCATGAACACGTGATGCTCTTGTCTCAGCCTCTTGAGTACAAGGATGACAGGGGTGTACCACCATTCCTGACAATAGCATATTTTAAATTATTTGGTAGTCAGCTTTTTACTTTTATTTTTGCATGCATATTTATATATACTTACATACACACATGCACATCTATGGATGAATGCAGGCATGCCTGAACATGAATGTATTTTAGTGTGGAGGCCAGAGGTTGACATTAGGTGTCCTCCTTGCTCATTCTCCACTTTTTATATTGAGTCTGGGTCTTTTATTGACCCCAGAGCTTGCTACTCTATTGCTCTGGTGATCCCTGGTCTCCTCATTCTGAGTGCTAGAATTACAGCAGGCTACCACTGGGGATCCTCTCGTTGTGGGTCAAGCCCCTTATCCACTGAGCTATGACCCCAGCGCCAGTTTGTTGGTTTGAGAATAGTTTAGCTTATACATTCACAAATATCCTAAGAGAACATCCATCCTGAGAAAATATCCAATCTATAGACTTCATAGGACTGCACGAGAGAATTGGGTATTTAGAAATGAGTAAAACCACCTGTCATCGGCCTTAGCTAGACTCTTTACCTTCTATATCATTTTTCAAGGTTGTACTCTTAAGTGGATTCTTTTTCCTGCTCTTGTAGTAATCTCATCCGGGTGTGTTATTTTTCTTAAATTGTAGCTGACTCCACTGGAACCCACTCTCTGTACACAACCTACAAAGACTATGAAATTATGTTCCATGTCTCCACCATGCTGCCGTACACACCTAACAACAAGCAACAGGTAAGAGATGCTCTGTCTTCTGTGTTTCCACTCACTGCACTTCCCCCAGAAGCCTAAGTGGCAGGTTTATAAAATCTGTGGCCGGAATTTAGTGTTGCACCTGTCACAGCAGCAGGAAGCTTTGTGCTCTCTGGAAGCAAGGAATAGCAAGTGAGCCGAAAACAAATGAAGAGACTTAGATTCTAGGGTAACAGCCAGCTGGATAGCTTTGTGAATTAATCATTTGCTTTTCACACTGGGGATTGAGGTTTTCATGCAGTCTGAAGAGACGTTGAAATCACAGTGATTGGATGACTCTGCAGGGTTGCAGAGGATCTGCACAAGTTGGTGAAGATCTTCTCAAGAGGCCAGTGCTTAAAACAGGAAAGTAGCAATGTTTCCTCTAAGAGGTCAAGGGGAAAATGGCAGAGAAGGTGTCGGTGGGGTCCAGAGCCATGTTCTTTCTTCATCAAGAAATGGCAAGGATTAGAATCAATAATGCCAAGTGCAAATACATCAAGTCTGAAGAGATCAGAGACACAACACCCAGCCAGACTGTGAGAAAGAGAAATGAAGGAACAGGGATGTGACAGACTTTCATGGAGGAAAATGGAAACTAACAGTACTATTTGGACAATACTGGCAGTTACAGTTTGGGGAAGTATTTCAAAACAAATGGTGCCAGGCTGAAACTAAGAAGAAACCAGGAGTGGACAATGTCCCCTCCTGTACCTATTGCAACTGGTCCAGTCACTTTTAACTTTGCAGTAACATGGATTTTATACTACAGAATTAAGAGAGTTAGCATTATAGGAAAACTAAGTTGTATGAGCTCAGGTTTGTGTGTGGCTTAGTTAGTTGATACCATGTTTAACCTTTTTGCTTTTTGAAGAACTTCCATAAAGGGTAAGAAAGCTCACATACATACAATAATGATAACCACACCCTCTTAGCAGCCCCCTCAGAGGGTACTAGACTGGCATGAGGTTCCTGATTTTGACAACCATGACAGTGTGTATAGCATGAATCAAAAGATGGTCTGAAGGAGCTCTCTGTGATTAAGGAGGCTTTTCAGACCTGAAGCGTAACCTACCTTTAAGTTGTCGCTGCTTGTGGGATAGTACTAATTTCTATGTTCCCAACTTTTGGGGTACAAACTATCTACCAGGAAACACCCTTGCCACATTTTCTGTATATGAAACCATTACGTGATTGTGTTGTAATTACTTCAGCCATTCCTCATCTCTAAAAATCTTCCCCAATGGCAAGTTTCCTATCTGAAAACGGAATACAGTTGTTGCTATAGAAACTGAGGATTTGGACATGCCAGATATTAGTTAGCTCTGTTTGAATGGCTGTATCCTTTATACAAATTTTAGAACATTCAAGCCAAAAAGGGCCTGCACTGGTGCATGCTGATGTGGAGTAGATGCCTTGAATATACGGAATGGTGGAGGGTGTCTCCAAGTGTTGGCATTTACACTGGGCTTGTTTTCTTGTAGCTCCTGAGGAAGCGGCACATTGGAAATGACATTGTGACAATAGTTTTCCAAGAGCCTGGAGCACAACCGTTCAGCCCGAAAAACATCCGATCTCACTTTCAGCATGTTTTTGTCATTGTCCGGGCTCACAACCCCTGCACCGAGAGTGTTTGTTACAGGTAGGCATTGAGCTGCAGTGGCTGAGTGGGTGGCAGGAGATGGCTGTGCACAGGGTCCCCCTCCCCCAGCTCTGCTTTCTGGAGTACGGTGGGCAGTCTGTTACATTGTGTGCGGCTGGCTGGATTCACTGGCGGGGCAGGCATTCCCAGGCTTGCTGGTCAGACACCTGCCGTTTCCATTTGCACCTCCTCCTTAGGTGCTGTCCTTCATCCACACCATCTGGTCACCAACTAGCTAATTACTCATCATAATGCTAATTATATATTTCTTTTGGCATGGCAAGAACAGAGAAGAGTGTTCATAATAAATAGAAGTTCGTTTTTAAGAAAATGTTGCTATTAAAAAAGTCCTCTAACATTTCTAAGCATCATCTTAAACGCTTTTCTGTGTTGTATTAGACATTGGTTGTAGCTGTTTTAAATGCCCTGAGCATTTCCCATGTGCTGCCTACTGGATTTGTAGGAAGGATTTCATACTGAACAGCGCTGGGAAGCGTGGCCAGTGGACTGCCACACACTGCATTTTAAAGAAAGCTTTTTCTTCTAAGTCTGTCTAAATCACCACTGTCCATTGGAAGCAGTGCATGGAACATAATAGTTTTAGGCTTTTTAATAGCCAGATTTTGTTTTGTTTTCTTTTTTCGAGACAGGGTTTCTCTGTATTGTTTTGGAGCCTGTCCTGGAATTTGCTCGGTAGACCAGGCCGATCTCGAACTCACAGAGATCCTCCTGCTTCTGCCTCCTGAGTGCTGGGATTAAAGACGTGCACCAGATTTTTAAATTTTGTGATGATAATTTAATTTTATTTCTTCCCTTTCCTCCTTTCAAACCATCCTGCATACCTGTCCCTGCTCTCCTTCAAATTCATGGCCTCTTTTTCTTTTTACTAAATAGCCAGACTTTTTAAAAGAAATCATAGGTGAAAGTAATTTTGACACTATTTTTGACTTAGTGTTTTATTTACTAAATAAATCAAAAAGTAGTGTTATTTCTACATAATTAACTGTAATTTCAAATATTGATATTGATTGTGTGCCCTTTTGTTGCTGTTGTTTCAGAGATAAACTGTATAACTTAACTCTCTGTGTAGATCAGACTAGCCTTGAACTCAGAGATGCACCTGCCTCCACCTCCTGTGTTCTGGGATTAATGGGTTAAAGGCATGTACCACTATGCCCAGTTACTTGTGACCTTTCTTTGAACTAAATTGAATGCCTTTTAGTTAGCACACACCTTGGGTAGGAAACTAAATTTTCACTGAATGACTTGATCTTTAGGAATTCGTAACTCTTACAATTGAAAAATATAGTCACAAACCCAGATTGTTCCAGAACATTTTGTAAAAGCTTTGTCTGGGTTGAGTATCAGTTTTCAATTTTTATATTAAATAAATTTTGAATCCGATTTAATGTTCTTCACCCATATTAGCCATGTTTCAAGTGCCCAGTAGCTGCACTTGACTGTTAGCCACCAGTGGACAGCACTAAGGGAACTGCCTCCAGCGGTTCCCTTTCTTTTCATCTCGCACACGGATACATAAAATACTGGAAAGTGGTGATTTTTATGTCACTCTTGAAATTCCTGCGTAAGGAGCTCACTGTTTCTTTTTTAATTACATGTTTTTGTGTGTGAGTGTTTTGATTAGTTTTATATCTGTGTACCATGTGTGTGCCTGGTGCCAGCAGAGGCTAGAAGAGGGTAGTGGATCCCATGAAACTGGAGTTATGGACAGATGTGAGCTTCCATGTGGGTGCTGGAAATTGAACCTGGATCCTCTTGAAGAGTAGCCAGTGCTCTTAACTGCCGAGCCGTCTCTCCAGTCCGCGGGAGCCCGTCTTTTTAACCCAGCCGTGTGATGCTCATAGGAGTTTGTGCTGGGAATAGGACATCCTTGTTCATGGCATGATGTGGGCATGCTTGGAATTTCCTAGCTGACAGCCATGCCTGAAGGCCTAACACATTGTTCTTCAGTGTAAATATTTAGCCATTTTAAATCCAAGGGAACATGTCAGTTTCTAATCTCACCAAAAGAAACCAGAGAAAATTTTGTTAGTGACCTCCCTTTTCTACTGTAAACTTATAACATGGGATTGTTCTGTGCCCTTTTCATGTGGAGTAGCATGTTTTCTGGGTTATGTGGGATGTCATGCAGTGTCTGTTGGCTTAGGGCAAATAAGGTGTACTCTGCTCTTACAGTCTTTAGTACTGGTAAATAAGGAGGGGGCCAGGCTTATGTTCTCATGAAAATAAATGTGTCCAGGGCAGAATGGAGAGTCTGTGTTGGTTGTAAGGTGGCCCATGGGTCCTGATGTGAGTTTTCCCTGTACTCTAGCAACCCCCTCAGACTACTGGGGATTGAATTTCAGCCCTGTTGCTAGTTTAAACTAATTTTAGTGCTTTCTCCAGAGGTAAGGAGAGAACCCAGGGCCTTATGTGTTGCAGGCAAGAACTGTAGCACTGAGCTAGCTTCCAGCTCTCATATATCTTTGAGCATTTAAAGCATCCTAGGCAGAGCTGTAGCTTAGTGGTAGGACACTTGTCTGTCACGCATAAGGCCCTGGCTTCCAGCCCCAGCACCACAGTCAGTCATTGGCCAACTTTTCCACTAGAAGCACTCAATTGTTGTTTTGTTTTGTTTAATTGACACCTGTCTGGCATCTGACATCTGGGACATGGAACCATTGTTCTATCAAGTGTCTTGCTGTAATGATTTGGAGGACTGGGTCAGTAGAAGGATGAGGTACCAGGATATTTAACAAGAAAGCGGGATTTAGCATAGTGTGTGTTTTAAAATACAGATGTATGGAATTCAGCAAGAAGCAAAGGATCCAGTTCGGGAGTGGCAGGGGTGTGTAGGGTAAAGACGGACCCGTGGGTAGGGCGTAACCACAAGGAAATAGTTAGCTCTGTGTCTCCAGGGAAGGTAATTTATAATGTATACAGAAATTTAGGGGCTGCAGTCTGCTTGTATCTGTGTCTTTAGTCCTGAGCCTACCATATATGTACCCAGTAGAACAAAGAACATTTCCTACCATGCATCAGGAAGATGGGTACTGAAGTTCACCCTGGAGTTGATCAGCCCTCTGTTGTTACTTAGATCATTACAACCAGCTTAATTGCCTGGTCCCCGCTGATAGACCAGATTAGAGGTGACAAATCAAAATGACGAAGGAGCTTTGTTGATGTAAAAATGCACTGAAAACCTTCAGTATGGAATTATTGTTAGAGGAGGTATAGAAAAGCCATTCGCATCAAAGTTATAGATTCAGTGAACATAGCCTGGGATCATCCAAATTGTGGACACCTGTGGTGCTTCACCACTTCAGTACTCAGTCAGTGGATCTAGACTGACCATCAAAGGCCACAAACACCACAAAGAGAGACAAATGTGTGCCTCATAATGGCAGAGTGCTACTGTACCCTTGTCCCTTTCCCGGATTAAATTTAACTGTGAACAAGCCTCATAGTCAAGGCATTTTAATGGAAATGTAGATGACCAAGGAGCAGTTTATACTCCACAGGAGGCATTCTCTGAGCAACCAATAGCCCAATTCTTCAGAAGGTGCATTGTAAGAAAGAGAAGTGTAAGAGAAGTAGACAGGACCCTATAGAATGACAAATCAGTCTCAGTCAGGATAGCATGCATATGCATAGTGGCCCCCCAGGTTTGATCTCTAATATTGTCTCTCCCAAATAATCAATTAATTGCAGTGTGTGGATCATATTGTGACCATATTCTTGACACACATAGTAGACAACCCTTAGACATCTGAAGTAATTAGAAATTGGACCATAAATTTGATGAAATTAAAGAATAACTAATTTTAAAACTAATAATCAAAGTTATAAAAATGACCTATGGTCTTCAAAAACAGATTTTGGTCTATAGCTACATTTAAAAAACATATATGTTACTTGTGTCAGAAAGGTTTCTCTTTTCAGTGGTTAAAATGTCATGAATATCTGAGTGGTGTGATGTAATGCAAAGGACACTTGGAGTTCGACCAGCTTGTGAAATTTCCCAGGTCTCAAATTTCCCCTTCTGTGTAGTGGTTGGCTGCCTGTAAGATCTGCTTGAAATCCAACTCATTCTGCATGCAGGCGAGGGAGTGTGGTGTGTGCACATCCACAGGCCTGCCTGGTCACTTCTCTTAAAAATAAGGCATCTGTGAGGTTGGTTCATCTACAAAGAAAAGGCCTAAGGAGACAAGAGAGGCACTTAGTCACAGTTAGCCCCTACAGCTGGCCTTTTTGTCACTCTGTGCTTTAAACTCTGCAGCTCAGCCTGCAGCTGGGTCCTTCAGGCCTGCTGTCTCCTGTCAGCCCCTCCTAACCCCTCTCCATACCTGACTTCACTCTCATGTGATATATGATTTATACACACACACACACACACACACACACACACGCACACACGCACACACACGCACACACGCACACATATCCCTGTTCACCTGATGAACCTGACTTTGTTTTTCTCCAGGAGGGCATGCTGGCCTCTCTAGAGCTACAGAACCTTTAGTGAGCCTGGCCTGTGGCACCCTGCTCTGTCTCCAGCAGAGAACTCCAAGCAGACTCTTGAAGTTCACCCTTGGTCCTCAAGAGTAGCTAAGCTTCATGAGTACTGCTGGGGAGATGAGCGCTGTTGAATCCCACAGCTCCTGGACAGAGGTGCTGCGTGGGAGGCTGCCCTGGACCCGGGTCTGCTGCTTGCAAAACCAGTCAGGCATTGTCCTCTCTTGCTGTAGCCTGAGAAGGGACCACGTCTGTCTACCTCTGGGTGTGTTCTGTGTTACCTTCTGTGTTTCTGTTGTTCCTGCCGTCCTGAACTGAGCCTTGAGGCCTGGCACATGCTGTGCAAGAATCTACCTCTGAGCAGTATCCCTAGGCTCACTCTTGTTTTTAACAGATCTTGCCCCAAGTTTATTTGTGAAAGCATCAGAGGGTATTGATCGTATGCAAATAGTGTGTAGGTGTATCACATCAGTCCATCTGTCTTCACATTGGCAGATAGGGACCTTCACAGGAATCTGGGCACCTTTGGGGCCATGACCTGAAACTAAAACCTCCTCAGCCTTGGCTTGAACCTTGGGCTTTAGTTGGCAGAACCTGTGACTCTTGGCCATATAGCTTCTCATCTGCTTCCCAAGCTTGAAGTGAGCCACGAAAACAGAACAGCTGAGTTTGGGGCTGGGTCCTTTGGCGTCTTGGTTTAATCACCTTGGGCTCTACAAGGGTCTTGGTGGCCTCTGCACTGCCCTCATTGCCTTCCCATCTTTGCCTGTAGCTTCTTGGGGCCTTTCTTGTGCTTCTTGACAAAGCGCATGTTCCTCAGGGCCCCTTTGGGGTCGACCTCCTTAGGAGATTGTCTTTGTGACCGGGGTTTCTTGGTGCCATTTCTGTGCCATTTTGGGGATTGTTTGTGTGTGGTGTGGTTCTTGGACTTGGCTTTGTCTGAACAGTAACCCGAAGCTCCCAAAGCCCCTCTTTTCATTTTTATTCTGAGATAAATCTCAGTTGTAAAAACTGGTCATGAATTTTCTCTGTAGCTGAGGCAGACCTTCAACTTGGAATCCTCCTGTTTTTCCTGAGTCTCCAAGTTAGCACCACCAGGCCTGGCTTAATGTTTCTTTCCCTTTGAGGTTGAAATCAGTTGTTTATTGCTGTTTACATTATGCTTCCAAAGTCGAAATTTCTTCTTTTTGCTTTTGTTCTTTTAGGTTTTGGGTTTTTCCTTTTAAACATTTACTTGTGTATTTGTTTATTGTGGGGGAGCATTGCCATGGCAAATGTGTAAAAGTCAAAGGACAGTTTACAGGCATAGGCTTATCCTTCCCCCGATGTGGGGTCCTGTGGATTAAACTCAGATGATCCAGCTCTGTATTAAGTGCCTTTACCCACTGAGCCGTCTCACTGCTCCCCCACCCCTTGAAGGTAGAGTCATGTAGTTCATTGTAGCCTTGAACTCCTATGTAGCTAAAGATGACTGTAAACTCCTGATACTCCTCTCGCCCAAGTGCTGGGATTTCAGGTACACACCACATGCCTGGTTCCAAAGTCCGAATGTCTTACTCTGATCTGTTTGCATTAAGACTTATATTCAACTGTTTTCCAAATTTCCCTTGTGGACCAAAGTGTACTGCTTCATTCAAGGTCTTTGTTGCCAGTGAATATTACATGGTCCAGATCAAGTAGACACACCCTGGTGGAGGGCTCTTAGGCTAAGAGATTTGTGTAGATGGTCCCATTTAGCAGGTAGCAAAGAGTGAGAAGGGTGGATTTGGAGTCCTTTCCTGGAGGTGAGGGTGAGGAGGGTGGGGCTCTGTGGTTGACGCTCATAGCTTGACTTCAGCCCTGGCGCTCTCCACCATCAGTGTAGATTATCATGGTTTCCTGCAAAGTGACGGATCTGTATCCCCTGTACATGGGGATAAACACTGGGTACATTCTGGGCCTCCCTGTTGTTTTCAAGGACTTTGGGGAGTATATCCATAGATTAAAATGAACACACATTTCCCTTGGTGGAGAGTAAATTGAAATCTAGTTTGAAGTGAAGCTCTAAATTTTATGGAATCTGAGGGCCTCTGTTAAGTCCCTGATCTTTCCTGTCTGCTTCAGTCTCTAAGCTCAACTCGTCCTCTCCCCCACCTGGGTGGCAGGTCCCATGCTGCCAGGTGAGCAGGCCTACAAAGGGTAGGTCATTGCCAAAAATGCAGCACTGTAAGTGTGGCTGACAAGAAACCCCATGGAATCCACCTTTTAAAAAAGCAAGAACCTTAGGTACCTATATTTAGAAATTCCAAACACACTTCATTTTGAATTGAGGCAAAGTATTCTAATTAGCTTAAATGAAGCCTTACTATAGTGAGTTTAGCATCTATGGCATCTGTGTCAGTGAGCCTCTTAACCTTGTAGGACCGTGAAAGTTAGTGTGTCTAAGACAAAACTGTTAGAAAGTGCCTTCTAGGCTACCATCTTCTTCACCGCCTTCTTGAGGATTCTGTTTCTAATATTGCAGACCTGATTACTGTCTATATCACTTACTCCCATCTGTGGTGAATCACAGATAATTACACAGTAAACACTCGGTTCTCTCTCTCACAGTTCGTTCTAGAAGCTTCTAATTAGTGGTGGGTTGCCAGTGTATGTTTGTCTAAAGTTCTGTCACTTAATAAATAGATCTATATTCTCTTGTGGGCTCAGGGGCAAGTAGACATGCTCATGATCACACCCCTGCTGAGCGTGTGCCTCTCCTTAGTTAAATAAAAGCACAGCTGTTTCCTGAGGAAGAATGCTCTCAGTGAAATTAACAAGAACAGAAATTGCCAATTTTAAAATGAAAGATATTATACATTTCTGGATCCTCACAGGATTCCTTGTAGAAAATCTACCAAACCTGGATTTCAGCATTTTTTGCTTGGCTTCAGAGGGTGGAAGGGTGGGGGGAGCTAACATGATCAAATTAAAATTACACAGCTGTCAGCATTCAAGCCAGACAGTTCACATTAACAAGAAAAACTGCCTTTGTAATAGTGTGTAATTAGATCTCAATGCATGCACAGGGGAGTCTGAGGCTTCACTTCTGCAGTTAGAGCATGGGTATTGGCTGACACCTCCCTTTGTCATAAAGTGAGACTGGTAGTGTTTTTTTAAAGATAAACTTCTGAAAACCATAGATCCTGTCCAAGGTATCTCTTGACAGTGTAGCTCTTTCGTTTCACCAGATTATAATTTCTAAATATAAAATCTTTACTTGTAGATTTATCTATCCCATTTCTATGAGATACAGAAAGTTTTCTAAAAGTAGCTGATTATCTGAAAGTGAGGCTCCCTACCCCACTTGGGGGAGGCTGAGCTAGAGTCTCATTCTGTAGCTGTTATGAAACTCACTGTGCATCTCAGGATACCCTCAAGTACTGGGCTTATAGGTCTGACTCTGACAAGACTTTAAAGTAAAAGCACACTCTCGGGTTTATCCTTTCTCTTGACAATTCTGAGAAAACATACTACAGTGTACAGTGTCATGACTGACTCACTTTTAAGTTACAGGGAGAGTGGGGTCATCATTTTTAATCCTGATTGAGGGGACCATGTGATCTTGAAAACTGATATATGACATACAGACTCTTTATTTCTACCCAACTTCTGTTGTTTCAGGAAAATTTAATATTTTTCTTTTTGAGATTAAAATTAGAAGGTCAGCATAGGTGTTTATGGCCATTTTTCATGAGCCCAACTTTTAGCGCTGGGTATGCAAAGGAAGTGATGGGAACAAGCTTTCTAAAGTCAGTCTGACTTAAAGAAACAGGGAAAGGGAAATGAGTTCCTTAAGAATCACAGATCGAAAGCAGAACATTTGGGTCAAAGAATAGCTCGATTGAAAGCAGGATTTTCAAGTTCTGTGGCAATTCTCTAAAAATCACAGTTACTATTGATGGTTTTATTTTAAAGTTATGCTTTTAATCTGGTCACATGATGGCCTCACACATGGGCCAACAGATACTATTTGCTTTATTACTAGAAATGGAAACGAGGAATCACTCATTTCTCATGCCACATTATCTTCTGGCTTTTCCCTGGTGAACTGTGTCTTGCTTGCAGCCATCTTGTCTCAAGTGGAGGACACATTTATGTTCTGACAGAGTTTCTGTCTGAAAGGTTGTGTGATTATGACAACCTCCACTGGAATTAGCCTGTAGGTCTTTAAAGTAGCTTTTATTCTCCTATGTGAACATTACAGTAAGCCCTTGCCCCACAATGATGTTGTGGTTAGTCTCCCAACTGCTAAAGAAGTGAAGTTTTTACTTCTAAGCTTTTAGATAGAAAGGGTCTGCCTGGAAAAACAAAACAAAACAAACAAACAAACAAAAACGTGTATTCTCTAAAGCCTGAATGAAAAGTTCATTCAATAAGCAAACATTTGAGTTCTTTCTGGTACAAAATGAGCAATTGTTGTGCCTTTAACATAGGCTTCTCCCTTCCCCTTAGTACTGGGGATCAAACCCAGAGCCTTGCATGTGCATACTACTCTGGTGCTTTCCTGCTAAGCTACATCCCCAGACCTTTGTCACAGCACATTTTATTCCACGTGGTATTAGAAGACAGACATACTGACACACACTTCATCTTTGTTCTCTGCTTTGTCTCTCAGTGTGGCCGTCACCAGGTCCAGAGATGTGCCTTCTTTTGGACCTCCCATCCCTAAAGGGGTCACTTTCCCCAAGTCAAATGTGTTCAGGGACTTCCTTTTAGCCAAAGTGATTAATGCTGAAAATGCTGCTCATAAGTCAGAAAAATTCCGGGCCATGGCAACAAGGACCCGCCAGGAATACCTGAAAGATCTGGCAGAAAAGAATGTCACCAACACACCTATCGACCCTTCCGGCAAATTTCCATTCATTTCTCTGGCCTCCAAGAAGAAGGAAAAGTCTAAGCCTTATCCAGGAGCTGAGCTCAGTAGCATGGGTGCCATTGTGTGGGCAGTCCGGGCCAAAGACTACAACAAGGCCATGGAATTCGACTGCCTCCTCGGGATCTCCAATGAGTTCATCGTCCTCATCGATCAAGAAACAAGGAGTGTGGCTTTCAATTGTTCCTGCAGAGATGTGATAGGGTGGACATCCAGTGACACCAGCCTCAAAATCTTCTATGAGCGGGGAGAGTGCGTTTCGGTGGAGAGCTTCATTAGCAGTGAAGATATTAAAGAAATTGTCAAAAGGCTGCAGGTGAGACTTTCCCTTTTTTGCTTCAATTCTCATTCCTAAAGTTTCTGGGACACTAAAGCCAGGTCGTAGCCTTGTGTGGCATTATTGGCTACTTTAGCATTCCCCTTGATCATATGTGAAGCCACATTCTGTATCTGATGCTCATTCTTTCCATCATTTGCTGAGAAAGAGTAGCAACATCAGGAGAGAAGACACATAGGCTGGGGGTTAGTGTTGGAAACTCACCTGCACATGACCAGATCTCACTGCACTGCTGACTGCTTTTGCTGTAATTGCTGAGAGCTGCTTGCATATCTGCCTCCTTGGATTTTGTTTTATGTATAGTTGAATGCAGAGTATGGGTTCTCCTTGCTGCCAGCTCTCTGCATGTCTGAGGTTTTCCTGAAACTTTAGGAAAGCCATTGAGCCCTTTGGAAGCAGCCAGTGTGTTGCTTTTGCCTACCAAATAGAAACTAGCAAAGGGGAATAACTAGCCCACCTTTCAGCTGGTTATAGGGTGTTCAAAGGTAACCCAGGGCAGCATTTTTCCAGTTCTGAGCCTACTGCTTAATAGGTCACAGTGCTTAACTCCAGGATCTCTCATTTCCTTGTCTAGTTTGTTTCAAAAGGTTGTGAATCGGTGGAAATGACTCTGCGAAGAAATGGGCTAGGCCAGCTTGGCTTCCATGTCAACTACGAGGGCATCGTGGCAGATGTAGAGCCCTACGGCTATGCCTGGCAAGCAGGTCTGAGGCAGGGCAGCCGCCTGGTGGAGATCTGCAAGGTGGCAGTGGCCACCCTGAGCCATGAGCAGATGATTGATCTCTTGAGGACATCCGTCACAGTGAAAGTTGTCATCATCCCTCCCCATGACGACTGTACCCCACGGAGGTAGGTCTGAGTTGGCAGCTAAGCTCAGGCTTGCTGTGCCATGTAGAACATGTTTTGATAGGCAGGGTGGCCAGAGAGAAGCTGACCTCTCTTGTGAGGCTGACCTTTCCTACATGGAAAATCTAACCCAGGACACAGCTCCGTTTCAGCATGTGACAGGAGCAGCTAGAGGGACTAATTGGTGCCAGTCTAGGATTTGTATCATTGGACTAATAGAGTTTCTGCTCCAGACAAGATGTCTACTACACTTATCTTCAGCATGTTGCACCGGCAGTCAATAAACACAGCACATCACATCTCGGCCTGTCAGAATTTTTTCTTTCAAGTTCCATGATAATCATACTGTCCTGGCTCCCATTTATCCCATTGCTATCCAAAGATCAGCTGCTGTTTTAAGCCCTACTGTCTGGACGTGGACAGCTGAGTCGGCTTCCAGGCTCTTTCCTGGCAGCATCTGTGGGGCCAGGAACGGTTCTGATGAGTCAGCCCTACACTCGATGCTTTAGCAGCTTGTCTGGAGCCTTCCAGAGGGAGGACCTAGGAGCTGCTGCCTGCTCCATTCCACTGGCTGAGTTTTTACTTCAGTGTTCCAGACCTTGGGGGAGGGAGCAAACCAAAAAAAACAATACTATTACATGAATTAATACATTTAATTCTTATAATCCTATGACAATTATGCATGTTTTTGAGAAACCACATAGGGCCATTGTGGTGGCTCAGTGAGTCAAATTGCTCCCCACCTAGTCTGATTACCTGAGGTTAATCCCTGGGTCCCAGATGATGGAAAGAGCATGGTGGCACACCCATGGTATGTACATACATACATACATACATACATACATACATACATGATACTCTTACCGAAAGTGTAACCAAGGAACTTCCCAGGCTTCTCTGGCATCATAGAGTTCAGAGTTTAAGTGCTTCTCTCTAGGTTGGCACTTGCCCTGTGCCTTAGTATAAGTCATGGGTGTTCTAGTAAATATGTGCAGTTCCTGGTTCATGGTGTCACTTCTCCCACTGACCTCTTGGAAGCTACCACCGTGACGTCTGTAAAGGCAGAGTTGGGCCTGATGGGACAGCATGTTCTGAAATCTGTACAGGTGACTCCCACACACCTGAGTGAAGGAGCCACATCTGGAAGACACACACACCACCTCTTGAAGCTCACACTGCTGCCCACACATTGTCAGGTAGCTGGGTGAAAGCTAAGTGCTAAGCCGTAGCACTCCCCACCCCTCGGTACAGGTGGGAAGTTGTGCACCATGCAGATGCCTGGGGAGACCCAAGGAGCTGTTCACTTGTGTGGAGAGGCTTCAAAGGGAACAGGTGAAGCATTAACACCTGGCTGTGGTTTCTCTTCTCCATACTTCACGCTCCACTGCTGGTTTCCTAGCAACTCATTACAGTTCTTTGACTAGTCACTCCTCTCCGCTCTGTCAGCCTTCCCTTAGGCGGCTCTGGGCTGAGGTAGGACAGTCTTCCTGAAAGCAGTGGGTAACTGCTGTTGGTTCCTGCAGCCGCCAGGATCTTGAAAGCATCATGGGCAGCCACAGGGTGGCCGCATGTCAGGCAGACCTTGAGTCTGTGTGTACATTCGTTTAAAAATATGGAAGTTATGTTTAAGTAACATATAAAATTGAGGGCCCTTTCTCTATTAGAAAGAACACAGACCCCTCCATGAGCTGCTTCCAAACTGAAGTTGGGTAAGAGAAGGGACATAAAGCTAAACTTCTGTGTTCTGCTGTGTTCTTGGAGGGTTTTGTTTCATTTTTCTCAGTGTCCTTATGGGTCCTTCATCTTTTAGTACGATAGCGAGAGGAGTGGAAAGTGCGGAACCGCCCACAGAGTAACCAGATAGCCCAGAGGACAGCACGGCGGGAGCAGTCCTGAGGGTTCCCGTCCATCCCCACTCCCACTGGTGAAAAGGCCCCTCACCTCTGTCACATCGCCAGTGTCTGTGACCTCTGGGACTCCAGCTCGTCCACTTGATGAGAGAAATAGCTGACTAGTGAGTTAGATGAGGTGCCCCTGGTGGTGTAGCTTTATTCTGCAGGGTGCTACTCTGCAATCAGGAACCATTCAAGAGCTAAAAACAGTTACATAAAAAGACCCAATTATCTTTAGTACTATTATTTTTCTTGCTGGGTATTTGAGAGTCAAATTATCTTTTAAATAGGAATGGGTTGCAACGTGTTTTCTTGCTTTGAAAGTGAGAGCATGCTGCCTTTGAGCTAGAACTCATCTGCTCCAAACCTCAGTCTCTAGATGAGCTCCCTCAAAGTCACAGCTTCTAGGGACCAAGCTGTTCACAAACATTAGGCTTTTTAAAATTAGGTTTCAGTTGGCCCTTTGGTCACATTCATCCCTGAAATGGTAATGCCTGCTGACAGCTCCCATTGGGTTTACAAAAGATGCTGGCTGCCCTTTTTTGTTATTGACCATCCTTGAGTGAGATGTGATGCATATGTGTGAGGATATCTAGGGAGTTAGAGTGCTATTCTCTAGTTAAAAACTAAAGTAAGATGGGCCCACAGGTATGCTGCTGGTGCTGTGGGTTAGGGCCTGGTCCGTCTCCTCTGGGCTGTGCAAAGCTCTCTAGACCTCTGCTCACCCATAATGGCAGTGTAGTGCAGGATAGCACCCCATCGTGGAGTTGCTGTAGTGTGACTAAATTAGCACCCATCCTGCCTCCCGTAGTCTGCTTTGCAGTTACATTCGCCACCAAATTTTATTCGAGGAGATCACAGGAAGCTTTTTGTAATTGCTTACACATGGCATTAAAACCAGCCATTAGCTTTGTTCTTCAGAGCCCTACCCACTCTTGGTTTCCTCTATCATTCTTAGGTTTTTCAGAAATTGGTAGGTGAGCATAAAGCCAGTGAGGTGTTCCCTTGCCATGAAGGCAGTAGGATAGGCAGGTGGCTGCAATTTGGTTCTTTGGGAACTGCATGAGATTTAGAAGAATATAAAATATCTCAGTAAGTTTTCAGTGCTAACTATGTTAAAATGATACAATTTGGGATATTTTGGGGTAAAACAAAGCATCTTAAGTCAATGGCACCAATTTTGTTTTCTTTCTAAAATTAAAGTTCCAGCCGTGACTCATCCATTCAACTCACTCTGCCTGCCTTGGACTCACTCTCCATTATCTCCAAAGTTCCTCATGAGTGACACTTCACAGCTACTGTGTTCACGCCCCTTCCAGCTCTTCCCTCCTGATTCCCAGTCCTGGCAGTCCCCGTACAAAAGGAAATCATTCTATTCAGTGATGAAATTTCAGTGCACGGTTAATACCATACTGGGATAGACTTTGTCTACCTGGTTAATGACAGACAGAATCTGCTCTTGTTGCTTCAATATAAAGAATGAAGCATGTGTCCCAGGTTTCCTGAGGACTGAGGTTTCAAGTAGAGTATAAGTTACAGGACTTGTGCTGCTGGCCATTGGTATCACTGAGGAATGGAAATACCTTCCTTTAGAAAGAAATGAACTCTGGCTTCAGATCATGCTTGGTTTCCCTGAGGGAGTTAATAATGGTTACATTTCAGTAATTGCTTTTCTCCCTCCTAAGCTAAATTTGGCTCTCTCATTGGGCATTGGGATCTTTCCCGACTTACTTTCTTGGCTCTTGGGATCCCAACTCATTTGGAGCTGCCCTCGCTTTAGATCCACAGTTGCAGTTCCCAAGGAAGTTTGTAGAGCTGCTTGTTGCCTGCCCTGAGCTGCCTGCTCTGGGGTCCTTCCAGCTCCCCCTCCCTCCCTCCCTCCCTCCCTCCCTCCCTCCCTCCCTCCCTCCCTCCCTCCCTCCCTCCCTCCCTCGTTTTCCATGCTCCCAGCTGACCTGGGTTCTGTGGGTTTTTATGGACTCCTCATCTCAGGCTCCATGCTTGGGACTGAGTACAGGAAAATACTTGTGTAATTCTTCTGGAGTCCTAGGTTGGGAAAGGAAAATTGCAAGGCCCATAGTTTGAAAGAAGTCTCAAAAATGTTAATGATAACCAGTGTGTTTCCACCAACAAGCTAAGGTGGTAGTCATTGTTTTTCCCTGGCCTTTCTCTTTATAGGAGTTGCTCAGAAACCTACCGCATGCCAGTGATGGAGTATAAGATGAATGAAGGTGTTTCCTATGAGTTCAAGTTTCCCTTCAGGAATAATAACAAATGGCAGCGGAATGCCAGCAAGGGTGCTCACTCACCCCAGGTCCCATCCCAGCTGCAGAGTCCCATGACATCACGGCTGAATGCTGGGAAGGGAGACGGGAAAATGCCCCCTCCAGAAAGAGCTGGCAACATCCCTCGAAGCATCTCCAGTGATGGGCGCCCACTGGAAAGGAGGTGAGTGCTCTCTCCAAGGCCACTCTGCTCTGATCCCCAAGTTCAAATAAGACCAAATGTGTAAACTCTAGGCTTTCCTGTGTTTCTCAGAAGTAACGCTGAAATGCCCATGAGGGTCTTCCAAAACATGGAAGCTTTCCCAGCAGAGTGTCCAGCCGCCTGCAATGGGATTTGTATGTTCTTCATTCTTTGATTTCTATGTGATTATCAACAGAAATCATCACCTTATATGTAGTGGCCAATTGGATTAAAACTTAGATAACTTAAATTCTTGAGGTGACGGTAGCTGTATTATCTTAAACAGTCTTTATTGCTTGAGACAATTTAGAAAATAGAAGCAATGGCATGCAAGGGTTTGGTTGGATATCTGTGTTGTCATTTTATTTGAAAAAGATTTTGAGAGGAAAAACTTGTCTTAGTCAGTGTTCTATTGCTGCGAGGAGACACCATGACCATGGTAACTCTTATAAAGGAAGACATTTAATTCGGGATGGCTTAAATTCAGAGGTTTGGTCCATTTCTGTCATGGTGCGAAGGATGGCAGCAAATAGGCATACATGGTGCTGGAAAGGGAGCCACGAGTTCTGCATCTGAATCAATAGGCAACAGTCAGACAAAGCAACACTGGGCCTGGTGTGAGCTCCTGACACCTCAGAGCCCACCCCCAGTCACACACTTCCCCCAACAAGATCACACCTCCTAGTAGTGCCGTTCCCTATTGGCCTCTGGTGACCATTTTCATTCACATCATCAGAAAACTCAAAATGGTACAGTAGATTTCCCAAGACTCAGAAAGTGGGGAGAAGGCAGCACATGGGAAAGGGCTAAGGCCTTCTTAACACTGAGGTAAAGAAGCAAAAGGGATGAGGGTGGAGGTTCTGAAATGTGAGGAGCCAACTCTAGTCAAACTGAAAGGCAGAGTAGACCCTCACAGAAAGCAGCCATGGTGTTCAGCCATCATTCTGTGAGCAGGACCACCTCAAGCTGGGGCCTCAGCCCAGCATTAAACTGTGTCAAGTTCTTTCAGATGTAAGTAATAATTAGGTCTAAAATTTTAAGTCAGTGTTCTGTAGGTGATGATACCAGTGGGGGTGGTTTCTGTCTGTGTTACTTGCTAGAGGTTTCTTCCCATTCTCAGCCATTTTCTTCCCACTTCTACTCATACCGCTCACACCCTGATGTTTTGGTGGAAGCCTCTGGAGCCGGTGTGTTGTCTGTGTTCCAGAGCTGTGGTGGGTAGAAGAGTCCTTGTGACAGAGCCTTCTCCAGCAAGGACAGGGTGCCGTGGACAGTGTTCTAGGCCTTCTCCAGCAAGGACAGGGTACCTTGGACAGTGTTATAGTCATCCATCTACTTCAGGGGCACTTGAAAGTAGAGACTGCTCTATGAAGTCCTGCATTATAGTCTAGCTTTGGGCTTATATAACATCATCACTTAGCCATCCTGGGATCCTAGAGTAGTGCCATATAGACACCGTGTGTAAGACTACACACGAAAGTGGTCTTTCTAAAATCTTTCATTGATTCCTGCAGTTGATGTCCAGGACCGTGCTGTTTATCCCAGTAAAAAATCCTCACCCAAAACCACTCCATCCCATCTGGATTCCTCTTGCTTTCCTTATGTCTGAGAAGGAAAAGCCTCCAAGAGATCTCGGAATAAATTCTTTGTTTTACTCACTGCAAACTTGGCTCTTCCTGAGATGTGTGTTAATGTAACTCAGGGTTTGGCTTGTGTTTTGAAAGGTGAGCCTGGGAAGTCATTGTTTAAAGTCCTTTCTCCTGCCAGCCCCATTTTCTGCTTCTACAGAACAATCCAGAGGCTTTCACAGGTGAACTCATTTTGTGTTTCCTTTCGCAGTATTCCACATAATAACATAGTAGAATGTGTTCTGTTCCATATTGAATCTAATCTGCAGCAGAAGCTAAAGCATGTAGGAGTTCAGCAAACTGATATGAGGAGGTAGAAATGCTATTTGTGGCTAATTACATCAGCACTGGCTTAGTCGGGGTTCTTTTGCTGTGACAAGCACCATGACCAAGAGTAACTTGGGGATGAAAGGGTTGATTTCATCATATAACTCTTAGTTCATCCCTGAGAGAAGTCAGGGCAGGAACCTTGAGGAGGAGCTGAAGCAGAAGCCATGGAGGGATGCTGCTTACTGGCTTACTCCTCATGGCTTGCTCAACCTGCTTTCTTTTAGAACTCAGGACCACCTGCCCAGGGGTGGCTCCTCAATTTGGTGGAGGCATTTTCTCAATTGAGATCCCTATTCCCATTTAACTTTAGTTTATATCAGGTTGACCAAACACTAACCTGGACAAGGATTCTAGAGCCTTGTCTTCATGTACCTGAGCCCACTGTCTGTCTCACCTCCTCGCAAGGGAAAGTACATCTCCCTGAGGAAGACACCAGTGGCCACAGGAGGGGCTTGTGCTTCTTTGGACTGTAAGGGTAGGATGAATAGAAGTGAGGCTGTCATTGGTCTGGGGGATATTGAACCCTAATCACTGCCCCTCTGGCTTCATATCATGTAGGTTGTTCTCTGAGAACCTACTCAATTCCCAGATTCTAGGATTATCTTAGGAAATCTCCTCCCTGCATTTTCTGACTGAGGATGGTTGGGCCATCTCCAGTTTGAAGTGTATGGTAGTCTTCTGTTGTAAAACATTGTTGTCAATTCCTATCCTGTCAGCCCTCATGCCAGTTACATTTGGAGTTAGATCATTTATGAATATGAATGGACCTTTAAGGTGAGTTATATATAGTCCACACTATAGCTTTGATTCTGAACTTTGCACCATCTTTACAATCATTTGATTCCATCCTTCTGCCCCAGAAGGTCGTGTTTAGCTGTGGAGAGTACAGCTGTCCTGGAACATAAGCCGGTAGCAGTCTTAGTCTCTCCCACACAGCACAAGCCTGCTTGCCTTGCTTGGGTCCAACGAAGTCCTCTTGGGATACAAATAGTCATTTCTTGCTTACAGAAGCCTACTCTTTATTTCAGGGTTTGCAGAACCACAGGCCCAATGTTTTTTTTTTTTTTCATTTATGGGATGGATTATTTTCTTTTAATACTTAAGGCCATAGTCTATGTAACAGTAACATATGTTGGTATTTGGGATTCTTAGCAAGAGTTTTTCAACTGCATAGAGCTTTTTGTGTGTTGTTGGGAGACACCAACACCTTAGAGGCTATAGCGTGTTTGCCATGTGAGGTCTGATCTGTTTGGTTTGAATTTGAGAATTTTATACTCCCTAGGTGTCCATCTGATTACAGAATTTTATAGTGTTTGTGGAGTGTATCTGTTAGCAAAGTAATATTTATTTAGCAAGAATAGGCAACATGATACAACTGTGGTTTGGGTGTTGGGTTTATCTAGGGTTTAAGGGTGGGACTGGAGTAAAAACAACTCCCGTAGTGCACTAGACTTTCTACATTGCTGAGTTTAAGCATACCAGGGGATCAGTCGTAATTCTCTAGATCTGAGTTACTATACTCAAAAATCTAATCATTTCAAGGGCTTTGGATAAGTAGCAGTCGTCTTAGTATATGAAAGAGATTCTGCTTGTTAAATAAAATTACCACAAGCCTTTACTGTCTGGATTAGATCTCACTGGGCCATGGATGCACTTACACTCTCCTGGATCCCTTGCACTCGAGTAGACACAAGGATCTTTGCATAACAGAATGTGGAGTTTTGCTGGGGTTGGCCAGGTCCATGTTGCCATCCATGTTCTCAAAGCCATCAAACACTGCTCAGCCCTAGCTTGTTAGTCAACATTTTCCACTCCTTCTTAAAAATGTTTCCTCCCATAGGCCATATGCAAAGGATTGGTCCCCAGGTGGTGCCATTGGGAGGTACCATGGTCCTTTAATATGTGGGACCCAGAGAGAAGTACTTAGGTCGGTGGATCACAGCCCTGAAGGATTGTGGTATACTCCCTGTTTCTACTTCTGTTTTGTGCTCTAGAATGTGAGCATTCTCTCCAACTCACACCCTGCCATTCTATGCCACACTCACAGACTTAAATAATGGGTTCAGTCCTAGAATTTTGAACCCCAGAACTGTGAACTCTAAGCTTTTCGTTGTAGATAGCCTGTTTGGGGTACTTTGTTGTAGTACCTAACTTATGTTGTTTTTAATTGATGGCCTTTTGCCACTGCTTCCTCATCCGTCGGTTTTCTCTTCCTCATTTCTTCAACCCCAGGCTGCGTAGCGTCTCTAATTGACATCCACTTCAGTGACTTCAGTCACTGCCTGTATGTAGGAAGTCCCTTATTTAAGGGACAGTCATCGCCTGTATGTAGAAAGTCCCTTATTTAAGCGTTTTGTCTTGACTTCCTTTTCCAAACTAACTTTTCCTTCACCATTTCCTCCTTTCCCAAAATGCCCTCCTTGATGAAGTAGGATAGAGTTTGTCCTGTGCTCTAGTATCACAACTTGACCTAGGAGTCCGTCTAGTTTCCCTCCATTCTCGTTTACTTCTGCCCTCATCTAGTAACCTGCTTCAGGATAATCTTCTCTTGAGTTCTCAGAGAGAGAGAGAGAGAGAAAGAGGGCAAGAGGGCGGAGGGGATGGGGGGAGGGAGGGAGAGGAGTGAGTTAGTTTGTGCTGGTAGAGCCAGGAGTGCCACTAATTGCCTGTGGAAGTCAGGACAGTTTTGTAGGGTTGGTGTTCTCCTTCCACCTGAGAATCAAATTCATGTTGTCAGGTTTGCATCATCGACAGCAAACACCTTCACCAGTGCCTTACCTCACTGCCCCCTCCCACCTGTTTTGTTTGTTTGTTTGTTTTGCTTTTTTTTTTTTTTTGAGCTAGGATCTCTTGCTGAGTCTGGATATCACTGACTCGGCTTTAGATTGGCTGGCCAGCAAGCCCTAGGGATCCTCTGTCCTGCACCTCCACCAGCAGGATCACCAGCAGTCCCAGCCACACCTAACTGTTATGTGGATGCTGGGCACTGAACTTGGGTCCTCATGCTTGTGAAGCAGGCACTTC